AAACTTAGTGAATATTTACTGCGAGGAGGGATATATATATATATATATATATAGTTGAGGCGAGATTGGACACATATATATTGGATGATAGGTACTTTTGAGTAATTGAATCGAATAGTATGTGTAACGTGGCTGTCAAATATTTGCATAGATGCCTTAGAATAACTTTTTTAAAGGGAGAACCCAATTCCCCTTAATCGTTTATTCTAATATCCCTCGCTGCTATAAGTAGTTACGACTAATTAAATCATGGTTGATCTAAATATTGATTAATTAAAATTAGTTAAAAGTAATAAATATGTAAAAGATGTAATTTGTTTTCTTCCAAATACACTTCTATTTTTGACTGACTTGAAATTCAGTACTTTTTTTTTCACTTTTTTAAAAACATACTCATTATCAGTCCGGCTCATAATCATCATATGTGGGTGCCACGTCAGATACAAATGGAATAAATATATACTTGAAAAACAATTCAATCATGATACGCTGTGTTTGGGAGTTCGAAAAGAAGAGCGTCCTTCTCCCCATCTTCAAATCCAAGACTGATACAAGAATGTCCTCATTCGAAGGGAAAAAAAATTCAAACAGGATAGAACCTCTAGACAAAATACCCACCCTCTAGGCAGTTCTCATTCGACGAAATGAGAGAAAAGGAAAGATGAGCTTGGTAAAGAAAGAAGAGAGGAAAGAAAAGGAGAAAAGAATCCCAGAAACTACGTCATTTTTGGCACTGTCGCAGGTTGGGTTGAACAGATGAAAGTGAAACACATGACCCTTGTCTTTGGCTTCCATCAGCTCCACCACGCCATTCCACTCACTTTGATCCACACCACTTCTTTATAGTGCCAACCTCTCTCCTTTAACGTGTCCTTCTTTGCAACACGAACCAATATCTTTGCAGCCCAAGCTTCCCAGCATCAGATCCTTCTATACACCGCTGGAATGGGAAGCGACCCATTTGAGCGAAGTCCAGGTGGTCGCGTTTGCTCTTCGCAAACTTTCTTTTTGGTCACGTTTGCCGTCGGCAAATTCTACCTGATTTTTTTTAAAATTTTATTTATATTCCACATAAATCTTACTTGGCAACCACATATGATGCCTGAGTTATGAATTGGACTGATAATGATTATTTTTTAAAAAAAAAGTGAGAAGAAAAAACTGAGTTTTAAGTGAGTTAAAAGTTGAGGGGCTGAATTGCATCGAGTCATATTTGAGGAACTGAGTTATAAGTGGGTTAAAAGTTAAAGAACTCAAAGATTAATTTTCTCTTTATTTATAGAGAGAGTAAGTGAGAGAGAATATGGGGGAAGTTGAGATAGATAATGTACAGACATGTATTTAAAGAGTAAAAATGCAAAAAGTGGATTAAATTTTAGATGAAAAGGAAGTTTAATTTGATAGCTCCAGTATTTAATATAAGAGCTAGTTTGACATTCAAGTTGGTCCTAAATATAGAACTCCAATTTACTTTTTCTTTTATATTTATCCAGTTTTTTTTTTTCCAAAAGTAGTCCTTATAGTGGTTGCATATGTTAAATGTGTCCATGAAAGGGTAATTCTAATACACATTATTAGCAAGGGTATTTTAGGAAAGACTATACCTGTTTATTACAAATAATTAACTTAACTAGTTTTTTTTAAACTCACCAAAATAATCAAATAGATCTTATATTAAAAAACAAGAGATAGTATATATAGGACCAGCCCTATGAGAGATAATGTAACTTATAGGGATAAAGGTCATTTTTGTCCCCGAAATTTCCGCAAAAGAACACTGGGCAAAGCTTTTTTTAGAGCAATGTTACCTTGTAAGTAATAAAAGTGTAGCAACCTCGCCCTCCATTAATAAGCCTTAATGGTCAACCATTAGTTGGCCAAATTATGTTGATGTGGCTCTGCTACGCAAGGTATTATGACATGTGTTGTCCCACATAGAACACCAAATCATCAAAATAAAAACAAAATATATGAAATACTAAACATGTCCTTAGCCTCTAATCAAAGCATTTAGGAACAATCGAGAGAACTACCTTAATTCTTCCGAGCACCAATTCTTCATCCACCGCGGCGACTCCGTCCCCACCACCTACAATGTCCCCTCCACGCGCGTCATTATCCCCACTATCCGCGGCGTTGTCCCCACCACCCACGACGCCCCCTCCCCTCGCGACGCCATCCCTACCACCCACGTCGCTCTCCACCACTTGTGACGTCAGTGACGACGTTGATCACATCCCCTGCGTCTTTGTTATGTGATCCCTGTTGGCTTAATCTCTCCCTCATCAGCCGATGAAACTCTCGAGCTTCTCCCCTCTCTTGTTCTCTCTTTCACTTTACGTATGCTGGTTTATCTCTTTTCTTCTCACCTTCTCCACTTCGCCATCACCCTCATCTCTATCATCATTGACTCCGATGAACCTCCTCCACTGGGTTCATCTTCGTCGGGACTTTGAGTTCTTGGGCAAAGACAAGACGATTGTGCAAACCAATTTCTACAGTCGTGGGACTGGGAGCAGAGTAGATCACGATCTGAGGTTCAATAGCTCCATGGGTTTCATAGGTATGTGATTAAATGGGATTGTGATTCTGATTCTTGACCGAGACTATGGAATTCCAGGTGGCACTAGATTCGCTTAGGGAACTTGTGGAAGTAGATCCTGATTAGTGTTGTTTGTCTTTTTTCTTGGTGTATTAAAAAAAAAATCTAACTCCTGATTTGGTTTCTTGCTCCTCATCTTCTGCTACTTGTGTCTCTTAGCCATATGATTTATAGCGTTGTCATCCTCAGATCATGTTCATCCTCATCCCTTTAAATCTGGGTATTCTTATTTGGCTTTTTTTTCTTTTCTTTTTTTAAAATTTTAGACATGATTTGTTATTCCATTCTATTTGAATTTCATGATAAACGAGTGCGGGTTGGATTTGAAAGAGAGCAGGAAATAGAATTCTTGCTCAATTTCATTAGCTCATTAGTTCTTTTTCACTAGTTCTATTTGGGGAAGTTATTTTGTTTCTTTTTCTTTGTAATTTTTGCAGATTTGGGATTGGTGAATCAAATCTCTGGAGTAGAAGGATTTGTTGGGGTTCATGATGATCATCTCCAGCAAGCTGCAATTTTGGGCTAGAGGGAAGAAAGTTTCAACATAGCAGTAACGGTGATGATGAAATGGCATATTATGTGGAATAATAGGTGGCAAATTATGCCACGTGGCAAGCTGTATCAGCCTAGTTTCGTCAACTAAGGGTCTGTTTGGTTTGAGGGGAGGGGGGAGGTTTCATCCTCACCTTGTTTGGTTTGATTAAAAGGAGGGGAGGGGAGGTTATTTAATGATCCCTTGTTTGGTTCAAGAAGGGGAGGGGAGGGATAGTAATAATCAATTTACCATTTTACCCTTACATATTAGTTTATGTTTTTTATTGATATATTATATAAATTAATTTACATCTTAATTTAAATCATATAATTTAATAAAAATTCAGTCTTATCATGTTAATATGTGTATTAAAAATTGGTACAGTAATTTTTATTCTAATTAATATAATAATATATTTAAAATAATCAAATTAATAAATTTTATATGCTCTAAGAAAAATGAAATTTTATTCTCTTTAGGCTATCTTTTTTTCCAGCTTTAAAATATATTTAATAAATAATATATTTATAAAAAACAATTAATTTTATAATATTATAATTTTTTATTTAAATAAATTTTTATTTTTAAGTAATGTTTTATAATATATTTTTAATTATAATAATGTATATATTTTTTATTTTTTTACTTAGAATAATATATTTTTTATTTGAAATAAATATTATAATAATATATTTTATGGGTAGAAGTGGAATATTGAAAAAACTATAAGAGCATAATGGTCCAAAAATTTGGCTCCCCTCCAAAAATTTCCAATTTGGAGGGGAGCCAAAATGGGGGGAGAGAGGGGAGGAGAGGGGACATTTTAGCTCCCCTCCCCTCCAAAATTTTTAACCAAATGAGGGGAGGGGCTCATTTTCCCTCCCCTCCCCTCCAACCAAACACACCCTATATGTTGACCATTAGGGTTTGTTAACGGAGGGCGATATTTCTATGTTTTTACTACTTTTGGGTAATATTGTTCCAAAAAAACCTTCCTGAAACCCAATGCTCTTTTGTGGAAACTTCCGTAGCAAAAATAACCTTTATCCCTAACTTATATTAATGACAGAGGGAGTAAAATGAGCTCGCCCTTAAAGGGTGTGTTTAGGTTAACTTATATTTTTTGTGAGTTTGCATTATAGGAAGTAAATATATAAAAAGAGTTTTGTCTCTAATGACCTCATCATTCAATGGAGGATGACCTCATTATATTTAAGGGATTCGTTGGCTCAGATTTTATGTTAGAACAACATTGCAACATTCTACTGAGTTTAAGGGTGATGTTACGTCCTTAATATAGTTTGGCATACATGGTGCTTTTGAGAAGAGAGTTTAAGGAAGAAAATATCAGATCATGCAACTCGCATTTGGCAGTATAACTTTTTTTCAATTTTGTGAAACATAAACAAATGCCTTTCATTTTACATATAATTGAATACAAATTGCTTACAGTTGAAGAAAAGTGGCGTTAGTTAAAGATAGGTTACAATTGGGCTCTTAAACAAATTTAGACACATTAATTTAAACAATAAATTTTGTAACGAAGGATTTTTCAGCAACTTTTCCTCTTTAAAAATGCAACACTCTATACTTCTAACAACTGAAAATTTACCATCAAAATTAGTCGAAAAAAGCAATTCAAAACTTAAAATTTCCGCACCACAAATTGCTAGCATAATGGATTGCCACAAAAATCCTTATTAGACTTTTCTTTTCTTTTCCTTTTTTTTTTTGTTGGCCACCAAATCCTTATTAGACTATTGCTTAGAATTATAGCTATCATAATGTCCAAAAGATATGTAACTAATTGACCAATCAATTCTTTAACGTTCTGTAGAAATGACATGAGGATATATAATTACACGGGCAGCCCAGGTTTCGTGGAAGTTCATAGGTGGCTTGGGACCTGGAAACATTTATTCTGCATCATTCCAAAATTTGCATCTTTAGACGGAGCTATATACAGTTATTGAAGAAGATATATTGGAAGATGAAGAAATGAACACGACACTCATAAGGGAGAAAGATTTAATCATAAGAACTTGCAAATAAGATGCAAATTGAATCGAGCGATGTATAATGAAGAACCCGGTATATACTAAGAAACCTTAATTACACTGAATCCTCCCACCTCCTCACATTTATTAGAGTTAAGGAATTTATTTGCCTTCTTTAATCTATACAAAATAGCTATTGCGTAGGAGTATATTATATATAGAGGGAAAGATGACTCCACCGAAAAGAGAGCCTATGTGGGGCATATACGTCAGCATTCTATTCAGATATAAAAAATACGGCTAGTGAAATAATGCTTTCAACTTTGTCCAGTTGAATTAGACCTGTAACAAAATATAGTTGGCAAAAAACAAAGGCCTAAAACGAAATATAAAAAGAAAAAACTGCAGTCATTTAATTCAGCTTTTCCCCTTATAAATGGAGAGCCATTCGATCCGATTCCAAATGAATGCTTTCTTTTAATCGGAAAAAAAAAGATGCTTTTTTTTTCCCAGTGTGTGATCATATTTTAATCGTTTCCTCAATTGATGATCCACAGTGTGCCACATGAGACTAAAGAAACATGTGATCTTATCCGTTCCACATTTATATTATACACGTGTGTGTGTGTGTGAGCCATTGTCTGTTTGCACGATGAAATACTGGAAGAGCAAGGCTTGACTTTAATGGATAGCCAGACAATTACTAGCATATTGAATAAAACCACCAGACAAATCGTTATTAAAGCTCGCTCAAGTTTCGCGGAAGTTTTTGATAGCTGGCTTGGGACCTGGAAACGATTTATTCTGCATCATTATTAATTACAATTACCATCTTTAGGTTGACCTGTACAGTTATTAATCGTCCAAGTGTTAACATAGAGCAAACACAGAAGAGACTAGGAAGATGCATGGAAGGGGAAGAAATGAACACATGCTCAGCAGGGAAAAAGATATATATATATATATATATATATAGTGAAGTGAATGATCATAAAAAGTTACAATAAGATGCAAATTGAGAGATTTACAGACGAAGAACCTAAACATTCTGAGAAACCTTAAACTTAAGCCTACAACCTTTGATATGAAATTGAGGGTCATTGAAGATAGAGCCATTGAAAAGACCTTGACTTTGTCCTGTATTCAAAATAGCATTGTTTTGATAAGAGGGAAGAATGGTCCCTCGGTTCCCATGAGAGACCACTGCGTCATCTTCCATCAACTTTCTCCGAATGAAATTTATGTCGTCCATAACATCAACGGGAGGCAAACAATCATATATAAGACTACTAATGAGACCATCAGACTTACCGACAGGATCAGCAAAACCTAAACGGTCCACGACAAGACCTTTCGATGGATCACAGGATATGCACAGAAAGTTACGAAGAACCACCAAAGGAGATTTTGCCTCGAATTGAATTTCGTATTCCTCATCTCTTCTGCACAAGGCTAACTGATTTTCGCTTCTTCCCATTTCGTAGCTCCAAAACGATATCTGGCGCCCGATTGGTCTTCGTCTTTTAACTGTGAAATTCTCACCAAATTGTCGAGCTTTCACAGAACCAAACTTGTAAAGCCGATCGCCGTCTCTTAGAGCCAAGAACTCTATGTTTATCGCCACAAGATTATCTTCACTCATGGCATCATAGAATGTAAAAAGAACCTTGTCATGACTCGCCCTGTAATAAGAAGTGCAAATTCCTGGTTTCTCGTCCCACTCCCTAGTGTAAATGATGGCGCTCTCCTTGCCGAATTCACTTGACCATTCGTATTGTCCACATCTTATCAAGACAAAATCTCTTCGACGATGGGGCGCTATGTGGCTCAATGAAGAACCCATATGCTTGTGCTCATAAACCCATCAACTCGCTCAACGTTTGCCGGGAAAAGGGGTTATATATACTGGAGAGATACCGGATAAGTGTATATTCGATCATGGACCCTATTTCAGTGATTAAATAATATGGGGATAAGATGCAATCATATCCACGAAAGTATTCCCGCAGCGGCATATGACACCATAAAATTTTCATCGATGCAATAGTAAATATGATTTTAATTATTATTTTTTTATTTTATTGCCATTTATTGTAATAAGGGGATTTTCTTATTTAATTTTCCTTTTTCAATTTGTCACATGATGGATTTCTCAAACTTACCTTTCAAGAAAGAACTAAGGAGGATATTAATTTTTTATTATTCTTTTATTTCATTTTTATTTGCTTCATTTACATTTAATATTTCTTGTGGGGCCTGGACAAAATTGGGTGTTCATAAGTATTATTCATAATTTATAAATAATACAATTTGTTATAAATTTTATATTAAACTAGACATTAGACGTGATGTACATTGAGTTTAAAGCGAGTCAAAAAGTATGAATCACAAACGTGCAGTTTTGTACAGATATTTTTATTATATGCAAAGGCAAATATGGTTCGGCCTGAAAAACAGCTGACGTTTCTCAAACATGTCAGCATTCTATTTAGATATAAAAAATATTAATTTGTTAAAAAAAAGATTCTAAAAATTAATTCAGTCTGATAAGAACAACATTTTAATAGCCATGTATTCCAGCTTTTTCCTTACAAGTTAAGGGAAGCCTAAATGGTGATCCAATTCCAATTGAACGCGCTTCGAAGATAAGCATCACATCACATGGTCTCTTTCACAAGTTGGGTACAATGCTATTGAAGCCGGCTGTTAGGATGCACAAGTGGACTTGGATTAATGTAGAAGACATCAATTAAAATTAAGTTTTAATGATAGAATAAAGTGAAAGCACCATAAAGTTACAAACAGGAGTTGAATTGGCTGAAATGGAATTACCTCCAATAAAAAGTACGTGTACTTAACAGAAAAAATAGGTAACCATAAATAAACTTAAATCTTAAGATTTCTCATTCAAGATTTGATGTCCTTCGCTACTCTTACTCATTTGTTGTCTTTCCCATTTTGAAGTTTTGGTCATACCAAAATAATACACCATTTTTGCAAGTTCCCCAAATTCTATTTTTTAGTTTTATCCTTATTTTCTGACAAAAAATTCAGCTCCAAGGGTAAGTCTCTAATCTAGTTGTGACTAATCAAAATTTAGTCAAACCTTTTTTTTAAAAATAAATTATATAAATTTTATCTTTGGTTTGTTAGAATTATGAGCATTTTCATATTCAGGAAAAGTGTGCATATATTAGAGGGAGAGCGAGATTACTCTACTGCTTAAAAGAAAAACAGCTGACGTCTCACCTGTATACGTTAGCCTTCAATATATACTATTGAGATATACGATCCTTAATACAGGACCTAATTGGAGAGTTGATGTTGGTCCTATATATAAAACCTATTTCATATATTTATCATTTTTTTTTAATTAGCCCTATTAATATCCCTAACAATAATCGAGTAGGAGAGGGAGGGAGGGAATTAAGGAAGATGATTATTTAACTAATTTAAATAACATCCTTAATATACTCAAATTAGTTAATTAGATCTTACAATAATGACTGGAAGTATGACGACTCATAAAATGCTTTTAACTTTGCTCAAGAGACAGCCCCGTAAGAAACTCTCTGGTAAAAGAAAAGGTCCTATAAGAAACACTAAAATAAAAAATATAGCAAGTTAATTAATATTAGCTTAAAAAGAAAGCCTTTTGATCCAATTCTAACCGAATGCTTTCCTTTTAAAGGAAACCATCAGATGCTTCACTTGAAAAAAAAGCATCAGATGCTTTCTTCTAATTTGTGATTTTAGTCGTTTCCTGAATTGATCATTCCTATTGTGCCGCATAATAGAAAAATGTATTGAGAAGAGTAAACCGCATAGCAATGGGCTATAGCTGCACTCCAAAGGCAGATGGCTATGCTAACAAAAGGGCAAGGTAAGTACCAACCGGCCGGATGTAAAAAACTTATTCCTCATAGCATGGCGAATTAAGATTCAAATTCCTGTTAAAAGATATGCCCACATTTAGTACCTGATAGTACTTCAAACATGATTATTTCCAATAAAATGATACTTGTGCTTAGTTAAAAAAAAAAGAAAAAAAAGAGCAAAGTAAGCTACTAAAAATGAGACCAGTACAAATGATGATTCAAGGTTTAATAATTCAAAGCGAATGGTCATAATTAAAATAATATATTTTAATAAAAGGCATAATTAATCCTCAAGTAACACTACAAAAAATAAAATTAATGAAGGAATTTAGTGACAGAATTTTGTCACTGGGAATTTAGTAATTGAAACTTTCTGTTGCTACATTAGTGACAGATTGGTAACACAATTTTATTCTGTTATTAAATTTCATCACCAATCAATTGTTGATTCTGTTTTAAAAGGACCAATGACGGAAATTAGTAACTGAAAAATTCCGTCACTAACGCCCATCACAAAACATTTAATCCTAATATTGTTAAAGAAAAATCGTGATATTGAAATTTTACATCTTGACAAAACTTTTTTAAATATTAACATATTAATTTTAATTTTCAAAATAACAATGACGGTTACAAAAAAATTATCATTTGTTACTAAATGAAGAGTTTGATTCCAACAATTTATTTAAGATTGAAAGGATGTTCAATTCATAAACATATTCCAACATTTTTCTCTCTGTAGAAAACATTTCATGTGTGTCATGGTACCCTTCACAAGGTGACGTACAAAGATTCATGTAAAGGCCTTTTCAAGGATCACATATATCGTAGTAGTATGTGAATAACACAATTAATTAAAACTAAGTCCCCACCCAACCATGCATGGAATCGAATTTTATATGCTTATGTTTTGTTATTCTTAATTTACAAACCTAATTTACCTTTTATGTCACTGGTCTGAAAAATCTAATTAATATTTACAAAAATGTAATCGGTCACATTTTTAAACTGTTGCCGCAATAAATGGTGTATATTAGACGGTTTAAAAAAGATTTTTTCCAGCAGCACATCCAACTATGTATGGCATTGAATTTTATATGCTTATGTCATGTTATTCTTAACTTGTAAACCTAACTTACCTTCTATGTCACCAATCTAAAAAATCTAGCAATATTTAAAAAATACCACTCATCACATTTTTCAAACCATGTCGTAATAAACGGTGTGAATTAGACAGCTTACAAAAAGTTTTTTCTAATCGCGCACCCAACTATGTATGGAATTGAATTTTATATGCTTATATCGCGTTATTCGTAGTTTATAAACCTAACTTACCTTCTTAACGTACTGGTACCTGAAAGGGAACAGTCCTGTTTCTTCTCCGCGCTCCATGAAATTTCCACTACATTCACTAAACCTTTGCCACATCGAAAGGCCGGCCACAAGTCCTCTGTAAGATCAAACAAGAAATCATGGACTGTAAAAAGCATGTTGTCACGGTTTCCGATTTTAGTCACGGACTCAAATAACTTCCTAGAAAAATTAGTTTAATATTGATTATATTAGATATGATTTTAAATTGTTATTAAAATATCTTCAATCAAGTATTGTAATAAAAAAATTGAAAAAAAAATTAAACTGATATATAGAACATGTATTATTTTAGCCAAAGTCTGGGCGCTATTAAACTCTCGCCAAAGTCTCTAACAATCACGAACAATGTTTACTGCGACACAATTACGTACATTGAAACAAGGCATCATGTGATGTGAAAAGCACGGTGTCGCATTTCAAGCAACAAACATTCACATGAAAGGGGCATGTGTATATATACTACTTTTGATGATCCTCAATATATAAGAGCTAGTAGAGAGTTTTTTGTTTTTTTGTCATAAATATAAAACTCCAATCTACTTTGTCTCCTAAATTTGTAATTATTTTTCTAAACTCTCCTTATATATATATATATATATATATATATTAAAGAATATTCATCAAAATATGACTAGTCATAAAAATGCTTTTAAATTTTAACTTTGTTCACTTGACAGCCCTAAAAGAAAGTCTCTGGTAAAGAACATGTCCTATAAAAATCTAAAATAAAAAATGCAGTCATTTAATATAGTATATAGCTTAAAAAGAAAGCCTTTGGATTCGATTCTAACTAAATGCTTTCTTTTTCAAGCAAACGCATCATATGCTTTCTGTTAATTTGTGATTTCAGTCGTTCCCCAAATTGAATGTTCCTAGTGTGCAACATAACATTAATGAAACAATTCCGCGCATTTGTTATATGAGTCATCCACTACAAAAGAAAAGGAAATTAATGACGAAATTTAACAACATAAATGTTATATTCTGTCACTAATCTCGTTGTTGATTTTAACGACGAATTGGGGACGAAAATTTGTATCAAAATTTTTTATTTGTAATGAAAGCATTCCGTTGCCAACTAGCAGGGGAATTTTGTGCTAATCCGTTATACAAAATGCGTAACAAAAATATATGTTGAGAAAAGCAAACCCCAGAGCAATGGGTTAACAAAAGGGACATACAGAGAGAGGGGGGGATAACCTGAAGATGTTACACTGTTCATTTGTTATGTTTCACGTTGGACGAGAATACTATACTATGGTAGAAGCCAGCAAAAGTACCTTGAAATTTTCACTGTTAATTAAACGCTGGTCTGATACCGACCGCGCTGGATGTTCCTATTGTTGATGATACAGCCGTTGCCATCGCCTTGAGAAATTCGCTCATTTTAAACAAAATTTCCCAAATTATAAATGTTTTGTGAAGGCCCGCCAGTACTGTTGTCATCCTCCATCATCAACTTTCTCCGAATGTCATTTAGTTCCTTCAGAATAACATCATCCGGAGGCTCACCACTGCGATGTCAAAGGAAATGACCAGTAACCTCCATGAACGCATCGCCGATCTCAACCGGATATCCTATGGAGTAGGACACATATAGA